GAGGATGTTGACGACGAGGATAACGAGGAAGACATCGACGACGGCAGTGAATGTCATGCTGATAGATAATTTTCAATTAATGTGGATCAGTTGAAGCGCAGATGAACTGGGTTTTCTCGGCTTCAAGGGTGGGCACCTTTTTTCAGTGAATTTGCAGCAGCAAAGCAGCGTGCAGCGCAGCGTGAAAGTCGGCACGGCTCAGGCACCAGAGGATTCGAATTACCCTTTGAGTTTGTTATACGCCACATTTCCCGCTGGCAAATTAGACTCCAAACAATACCTGGTTCATGAAGAATAATGTGGTAAAGCAAATCATGAAACATCTTCGGTCTATGGCCTTGGGTCCCAAGTTGGCCTTCGGTATAAGTTCTTCCATGATTCTCCTGCTGCTGAATTCATGTGAAACAAATTGCCAAGATGAGAGTTTACCAGTTCGAAGAAGCAGTTCTAACAAATTAAACTTTACATTAAAAACCCAACTAAATGGTGGTTTCCATCAATGGGGATACCCCCAAATGGATGGATGGTTTATTTCATGGAAAATCCTGTGTTGGATGAAATTGGATGATTTGGGGGTACCCCCATGACTTAGGAAACCAAAGATCCATAAATGGTCATCAAACTGGTAAACCTCTTAAACTTTACATTTAAAATCCAACTATATATATATATACCATCTGGTTATTTAACAGTTTGCCATGGAAAATCACCATGCCATTAATAGGTAAACCATCTATTAATGGGCCATATATAACTTCTGGTTGGAGGCTGTGAGCTACTTGGCGGATCGTCCTCCAGCCGGTGCGCTGCTGTTGAAAGCGGTGAGCACGGCAGGCATCGCTGTTTCCATCACGACATCGCCATGGCAAAAGAGCATGTTTAATGGGACTTAATGGGATTTCAAGGGATTTAATGAAATGTAATGGGATTTCATGGGATTTAATGGGATTTACCCTCTGGTAATCTAACATAGCTATAGAAAATGGATGAAAATGGCCCATTTATGTTTGATTTAGAATATTTTAGAATAATAGCTATGTTAGTTTACCACATTTTCCATGGCAAGGTGTTAGATTGCCAAAGGGTAGCCAGATTTGACAGGGTAAAACCAAACATTTCATGGGATTTCAAGGGATTTCATGGGATGTATTGAGACGTATATATCTGTAAGCAACACCATATACTTGAGTTATAACGGCGTAACAAGCCGACATCACAAGAAATGATAGTTCATACAGGGGTAAGTGTCCCCAAATGGCCGAATCTTTCAAGTTTGTGAAGTTTTGTGATTTACCACATAACCACATTATTTAAAGGAGCCGATTTAACCGTTTGCCCCCATATTTCAACAAGTATTCAACACCAAAATTCTTGAGCAACGGCTCAAATTACCAAACTCTTCGTTAGGATTTTACTTGTTTGTATTTTTTTTTGGGGTTTCACTTTAGGGCAATTTGTCTAGTGGCCATGAAAACTCGGATATCTTGAGATGGAACTAGGATGGGACGTAGTAATTTGAACAACGGGGTCAGTAGTTAGGTTGACGAGAAAATCTTTGGAATCACCAAAGATGGGTGGGTCTCCTCATCTGAAGCTAGCAATTTTGCTGCAACGACTCGCTCCGCACTATCATTAGAAGGATGTCAGTTTAGTTTCTTGGAAGGTATGGCCCAACCAACGTTTTGTTGCTTCACATGGCTTTGTTGTTTTGTAGATTGATATGCCGATTCTTTATTGCTTCGCTCTCGAGTGTTTTTTGGTTAACATTCCATGTCTTGTCGTTTTAGTGCTTCACATCCCATGTGTGGGTAAGGGGGCCGGTATGGTTTAGTGGATAAGACGCATCCCTCATGCGTCAGACCCGAGTTCAATACCCAGGTGCAACACTAGGCGGGCGGGTGGGCCAATACCCCACCCCTGCAGTTAAGGGGATGAGCTAGGGTGTGGTCCGTAAAAAAACACTCACTCCATGTGTAGTTAATCATTTGCTAAGACGCACATTCATTGACATGATATTTGTATGTAACAGATATGATATGTATGTATGTATGTATGTATATATATATATATGTACCGTTGCATGCGTATATATATATATATACATATACGCACAAATGACACACTATTTATACATATATGTATATATATATATGTATTTGTATATGTATTTTTGTATATCTATATGTATATGTATGTGTATTTGTATATGTATATATGTATATATATATATTTACAGATATATATATAGATATATTCACATATATGTCTAGTTGGACCACGGCCTTTATAACCACGGCCTTTATAAGGCCGTGGTGTTTTGTACATATCGGGGGGGTGGGGTGGGGTGGGGTGGGGCATGTAATAACGTTCATGTGAACTTGCGGAGGAAGGGGCATGTAATAACGTTCATGTGAACTTGCGGAGGAAGGACATGCTTGTCTGTGGCTACTGTGTATGAATTCTCTGGAACTTTCCACTCCTGCGTCATGCCACGCTATGTAAGTTCCCTGTAACTTTCCACTCATGCGTCATGCCACGTTACTGTAAGTTCTCTGGAACTTTCCACTCGTACCTCATGCTACGTTACTGTAAGTTCTCTTGAATTTTCCACTCATACATCGTGCTAGGTTACTGTAAGTTCTCTGGAACTTTCCACTCATGCGTCCTGCCACGCTATGTAAGTTCTCTGGAACTTTCCACTCCTACGTCATGCCGCGTTACTGTAAGTTCTCTGGAACTTTCCACTCATGCGTCATGCCACGCTATTGTAAGTTCTCTGGAACTTTCCACTCATACGTCGTGCTATGTTACTGTAAGTTCTCTGGAACTTTCCACTCATGCGTCATGCCACGCTATCGTAAGTTCTCTGGAACCTTCCATGCATACGTCATGCTACGTTACTGTAAGTTCTCTTGAACTTTCCGCTCATACGTCATGCTACGTTACCGTAAGTTCTTTGGAACTTTCCATGCATACGTCATGCTACGCTACTGTAAGTTCTCTTGAACTTTCCACTCATGTGTCATGCTACGTTACACAATATGTGTTCATGCGGTGCTGGCGTTGTACCTTAAACAATCCAGATCCGCAAAGGTTCTTGGAAGAACTCGAAGCGTTGCTGTGACCAACACAGGAATCAAAACATGTCAGGTTGAATATTTTGAGAATTCTCACAAACCCCAAAAATGGTAGTTTCGTCTAGGCGAAATGCTTGTTTTTGAAAATATGCACCAAAATAAGGGGTTAACGGCCTTAAAAACCACATCAAAACATGTCAGGTCGAATTAGTTTGGGAATTCTCAAAAACCTCAAACATGGTAGTTTCGTCTAGGCGAAATGCATGTTTTTGAAAATATGCACCAGAAAAACGAGGTTAACGGCCTTAAAAATCCCATCAAACAAAATCCTATTGGCACCAGCACATCAAAAATCACCCATGATACACCGTTGATCACAAAAGACCCACGGCCTTCTAAAGGCCGTGTTCCTAGTTACACACATATATATATATATTCATTTATATTTACGTATATGTATACATATACATCTAGATATACATGTATACACATACATATATATATATATACACATGTATTTTACATACTATATACTCCCAGAATGAGCATCTGCTGGGCTTTCCCCACGCCCAGCTTTTGCCAGGTGTGGCCTTAGATTCTGCTGCCACGGTGCCGATGTCACAGGAACAGTCCATGGAGACGCTACTGATGTCGCTGGGCAAAATGGGTTGGTAAAAATCCCAGGAAACCCAAGTAGAAAACGGATGAAAACAGATGAAAATGGGGATTACATGGGATTTAGTGGGAGTGAAAGTTAGTAAATGGAAAATAACATAGATTTGGAGTTTACCCAGCATGAATGTAGACAGTGTAACTCATTTTCCAGACGGAAAAACATGAACATGAATTTTCCACGTCTATGTTAGTTTACCCCAATGTATAAGTAGGGTAAGTAGGATGAGTCCAGTTGTAATTGGGGTGTTTTTATCCACTTACTAATTGGGATAGATCACCAGGTGGTCACATTTGTTTTTTTTTTCGAAGGTGGGCCCAGGTGGGCGACTACTGCGAAGGTGCCTTCTCGCCTCAGTGTGCGAAGGTTCGTTTTTGGTGCGACGTCTCGTGGCGCTTCAAAGACTTGGCAGGCCCAGTATTGGGTGAACTTGGAGGATGTTTTGAAAGGCTGAAACGGTTATTTGGTGAGACTGCATTTATTTTCGGATGTGGCGCCTGGTGCTTGTGTGGCATGGGCAGTGCTTCGGATGCTTCGGCTTTGATTTTTCGTGGCAGGCGCAATACTTGACCTTATGTAAAATAAAAAACCGGATAACACATGTTTTATTTCATTTTGAGCTGTCATTTTGTCATTTCCCATGGTGTGCAGAGTCTGTGGTGAATTTGCACCACACCACATGTTTTTGGCGCTAATTCACCAAATTTTGTTCTTTCTCATGGCGAGAAACGTTTTCATCAGCCGTAAACGATTGAATGATGTCAAACGTATGGTTTAGTGTAATTTAGTAGAGTTACAGATTCCTGGACCCCCTGCTGGAGGGAAGGTGACACTCTTCCCAAAGATCCCCCAAAAAAATCGGAATGAGCGCCTCTCACTTTTGATCTTGTCAATAGACAAGGCACAATTCCGTGGATCAAAATTCATCCTTTCTGATATTGAATACGATCCAATAGGAGATCAAACATGAATATATCCAAAACATTCCACCAGGGGTTTCGGGGGTCTACTTGGTGATTTCTTAAACTGAATCCCCAAGTCAAAAAGTGGGCTTCAATACTAAGTCATGGTCATGACGACTGGATGATAACTGGGGGTAACCCTCATGACTTAGGACACCTCCATGACTTAGGGTAGCTGCCAAGGCCCGGAAGTCACCAAGGCATCTTTGAGGACGAATCATCACAGTTACCCGCAGAAGTTGGGATTTAGTGGGTTCCGGAAAGCTGGGCGCCAAGTTGGTGTGTGATGGACACTGAAAAGATCCACTTGAACATTTCTATGCATGCCATGCTTAGGCTTCCTTTTATTGGGCGGATGGGGCCACAATTTTCTTGTGATTTGCGAATGGTGAGGGGCAGATATCTATTGACAACCACAGCATCCTAGTCGAATTGGCCAGTGGGTTTGAGGGATAGCCTCTGATCATGGAACATGGTGCATTTGCACGCAGGATCAATTTACCCCAAAATGGGAATTGCCTGGTTCGATTACAAGGTAGGGCACAGTGACACTGACATGGTGTACGATGTATTGTTCAGTCGACAGGGAATGGATGGCTGGTCCGAGCATGATCAGATTCTAAAAATTCTTATCAACCCATCTATCAACCCAACAACCCATCACGACGGGCCATGGGACCAGCAAACACAGCACCGGAGCCCGGAGTGACACGCCATGTGCAGCTGTAGCAGCTTTCTTCGTGGCTTGCAGCTGCTGAAAGGAGGGATTTGACTGGTGCAGTCCCATTTTCTCTAACTCTATTATAGAATGGGCTAGCGCCCTGGTGCCGCCGACCCCCCTATTGGGGGTGGTCCGGTAGAGAGAGAGCCGCCACCGCCCACGCAGCCCAAGGGCAAACGTGCAAAGAAGGCGTGGTCATGGACATGCACATTGGGGAAGCAGGCGACCCATTGACAGCTTACATTGCATTAACGCGAGTCCAAGACAGGTATGGTTTGTTTGTGTACCGACCGTTCCCTGCAGCACCATTTCAAAAAGGGGCAAAAGTAGGGCGGGAATTGCTGTTGCGGTTCTGGGGTGGTGAAAAAATGGATTGGAGGGCGCTGCGAGCGAAATACCGAGACGAAAGACAATGCAAAGAATGTAATGAAGCAAAGCCGGCGTCTGCATTCACTGCGGGTCGATGGAAACGAGCAGATGCGGCGAGAGTATGCAAGGAATGCATTCGTAGGCATGTTGAGGCGCAGCAGCCGTGGCAATGCATGGCCTGCACGGCGTGGAAACAGGAAGATGCATTCAAGACAGAACATGCAAGGCCACAAGCCACATTTTATCGTATTTGTAAGACGTGCGAACAGACACAAGTGTGTAGTGTTTGCAATACGCGCAAGGACGAAAAGAAATTTTCTGGCGGGGCCTGGAAACGAGCACGCAGGGGCGGTAGAGTGTGTTTAGATTGTTCGGGTAAAGCATGGGGCTGGTGGAGATGCAGCGTCTGCAAGGTAAAGCAAGCAGCGTGCGCTTTTGAATCCTGGCTGGCGCAACATCGTTCTTGTAATGGTGACCAAGTCTGTAGCAACTGCTGGCAGTGCCCCATTCCCGGGGAAGCATCAGCAAAGCAGTACAGCGGGTAGCGGCAACGCAAAGCAGTACAGCGGGTAGCGGCAACGCAGGCGAAAGTCGCGCGGAGGGCAGCGGAAGAAACAAAGGCACGCGCCATCGCCGATGTCTGGGCTGCCATTGCGGAAAGAAAACGGAAGAGAGAAGAGGAGGGCACGCGAACGCACGAGACAAAGCCGGAGGCAAAACAACGGAGAGAAGACGAAAGGGCAGAAATGACCAGTGCGAATGCCGAGGATGCCAGCACAGAACAAAAACGGAGAAGAGAAGTGGAGGAGGCCAGAACACAAGAAGGAGAACCAAAAGAAAAACAACGCAAAGACGAGACAGGAAACGCCGAAGAAAAGCAGAGAGCCTTGCAAGCAGGTAAAAGGCAGGAAGGCAGCAAGCCCAGCAAGGAGGAGACTTTGCCGGCAAAGAAACGACAAGCAACGCAGAGGGGACAGAGTTTCAAATATGTCTGTCCTGCTTGCGCGCAGTCAGTGATCAGCAGAATATGCACAGGGGAAGTAGATCATCGGCGAACCTGCGGGAAGCGATTCCGAGTGAAAGACGGTGTTGTGGCAGAGAAATCTGTTGTTTACACATGTCCATTTTGCAAGGGCCTTGTGAACAGCAATGTGAAGACAGGGAAAATCAACCATCGGGGTGTCTGTGGGTACAAATTTTCGGTACGGGACGGCGTTGTCGCAAAGAAAAGTTTTGTTTACCAGTGCCCATTTTGCAATGGACTTGTGAACAGCAACGTGAAGACAGGGCAAATCGACCATCGATCTGTGTGCAACAATCAATTTTACGTCAAGGACGGTGAAGTCAGCAAGCAGACACGGCGTCATGCGCACAGTTGCCCGGTCTGCTCCACTGTTGTTTGGTCATCGCTGTCATGTGGCCGCATTGCTGTCAAGCATGACATGCCATCGGGAAAACCATGTCACAACAAGCAGTGGCACGTTCCCGAGAAAAAGACAACGAAAACAAAAAAGAAATAAGAGCCTCCTTAAAAGGACACTGCCACGGCCTCAGGGACTTGTTAGAGCTGCAGGAAAGGTCTGCCGCGGCCTGAGTGGCGCCTGGGAGCTGCAGGGAAGGGTTTGGGGAGTTTTGAGGGCTGGCAAGAGGCAGCCTTGAACCTCCATAAAAGGACACTGCCACGGCCTCAGGGACTTGTTGGAGCTGCAGGAAACGTCTGCCGCGGCCTGAGTGGCGCCTGGGAGCTGCAGGGGAGGGTTTGGGGAGTTTTGAGGGCTGGCAAACGGCAGCCTTGAACGTCCATAAAAAGACGCTGCCACGGCCTCAGGGACTTGTTGGAGCTGCAGGAAAGGTCTGCCGCGGCCTGAGTGGCGCCTGGGAGCTGCAGGGGAGGGTTTGGGGAGTTTTGAGGGCTGGCAAACGGCAGCCTTGAACGTCCTTAAAAGGACGCTGCCACGGCCTCAGGGACTTGTTGGAGCTGCAGGAAAGGTCTGCCGCGGCCTGAGTGGCGCCTGGGAGCTGCAGGGAAGGGTTTGGGGAGTTTTGAGGGCTGGCAAACGGCAGCCTTGAACGTCCATAAAAAGACGCTGCCACGGCCTCAGGGACTTGTTAGAGCTGCAGGAAAGGTCTGCCGCGGCCTGAGTGGCGCCTGGGAGCTGCAGGGGAGGGTTTGGGGAGTTTTGAGGGCTGGCAAACGGCAGCCTTGAACGTCCATAAAAAGACGCTGCCACGGCCTCAGGGACTTGTTGGAGCTGCAGGAAAGGTCTGCCGCGGCCTGAGTGGCGCCTGGGAGCTGCAGGGGAGGGTTTCGCGAGTTAGGCGAGTTTCGAAGGCTGGCAAGAGGCAGCCTTGAACGTCCATAAAAAGACACTGCCACGGCCTCAGGCACTTGTTGGAGCTGCAGGAAAGGTCTGCCGCGGCCTGAGTGGCGCCTGGGAGCTGCAGGGGAGGGTTTGGGAGTTTTGGCGAGTTTTGAAGGCTGGCAAACGGCAGCCTTGAACCTCTTTACTGCCACGGCCTCAGGGACTTGTTGGAACTGCACAGGGTCTGCCGCGGCCTGTTGCGTTTTGGAACGCCGTAGAAACAGAGATTGCTGTGGCATGAGTGGCTCGTGGGAAGTGCACAGAAATTGCTGTGGCCTGAGTGGCTCCTGGGCGGTGAACAGAGGGTGCTATGGCCTGGGTGGCTCGTGGAAAGTGCAAAGCATTGGGAACGAAAAAAAGTTCCACACCTGCGGTGGTCCCAGGCGCCGCCCCTGCCTTGGCTAAGGCAGGGGTCGGCGGATATTAGTGTAACATATGCATATAGATATATATATATATATATGTACATATACACTGCACATGAACTGTTGGTGCGTTTTGATGTTCGAAAAATTGGTTTGAGTGCGTTGTTCGCTTTACTGCCTCTAGGGACTTTTAAGGCACCGACCTTAGATGACCAACATGCTACATCAAATAGATGTCTGCAGTACCTAGATTTTTTTCGGCATTGGTATCCTTCAACCAGTGTTTGCTTGTTCTGCTTCGGCAGCAGTTGACTCCTGTCCCAGGAAGTATTCTGGGAGACGAGGAAGACGAGGCACCCGCTTCAAGACACAAGAAGTTGACTTGCACAAGTGATTCAGTCTGCATCCCGCCAGGTTTTTCATTGCAGGTGGGCTACTGTAGTGAGCCTCCATATGTATGCATACATATATATATATATATCTACATATATATGTATGTATAATCATATATATATAGTATACATAATTGTTTTTGATTCAATAGATTATTATATATATATGACATACATTTATAACTATATATATATACATATGTATGTACGCATATTATGTAGATTTATGCAGTATCTATGTATCATGTTGGCCTAGTTGAAAATTGTCCTGTCACCGCGAGGCACCACAGGTTTACGGAGATCGATATGCCGATGCCTTGGTTGTGGACCAGTTAGGCGATTTTTATGGATTTTTCGTTGGATATGGTAAAATGATGGGTATCATAGTTGGTATATAGTTATTGGAAAACCGGGGATACGTTCTTCTTTATGGGGATACAAACTAGCAATTGATTCTTGGGTCTGAAAGCGGGATGTACCCTCAATTTGTGTTCATTAAGATATGGAGAACATGGTGATGAATAATCAAATGTTGGGTACCCTATTTAAACAAGGCCATATTGGGGATCCGATTGAACATCAGCAATTATATCCGGGGATTCCCACATTGCCGTTTGCAAAACCTGATATTTGACTGCTAATACTTTCATAAGCTTGTTCCCTCTGACAAATGTAACAAACATGATATGACACCCCGGGCACAGTTTTTTTTAAACCTGAGATGGAGCGGCCTAGTAGATTGGAACTTATATCGGCAAATCTCTGTGCCATTTCTACAGCTGTCGCATAGATCCTGTGGATGTGTGCGGGCAAAGAGGAAGATTCTTGCATCAGAAACTGTGAGCGCACTGCAGAAAAAAATAATATGGGGAAGGGTCAAAACCTACTATTACCATATTTTTTGGGAATAAACATTCAGTCACCAGCTATGACTGAAGGTACCATGCGAATTTCCCCCCAATTTTGACTCATCAAATGACGACGCAGCCAGGCCGCGACGAGTTAATTCCTATAGTTGGATGTAGCCACCATAAATCCAACAGCTATTTAGACATTCTAAAACCAATAAATCCAACAGTGATTGAAAATTATAAACCAACAGAAACCGATGGAACTTGCTAGACTGCCATGGCGATGGGTGTGTAGAATGGGAGCACGAACTTGATGCAGCAAGGCTGCTGTTTGGTGCATCTCGGAATGCTTTTCAGGGGTGGTCCCCAGAGTTATGGGGGACACATTTATGGGTCAGTTTTTCATAGGGAAAATGCTGATAAACCTTGAAAAAAGGGATAGCCCATTTTTCAGACACTCCCATGTAAGTTGGCTGTGTAACCCGCAGTAACGAGTTTGATATGATACCAGAAACCCAACTGTTAACCTAGTGAAATAACCAACTTGGGACCACACCTTGGCTGTAGCCTGTTCGCAGCCACCAGGTATGTTTGCTTGGCCCTCTAACCGATGCTCGGTGAGAGTGGTAGTGCTTGTTGCGATCCTGGTGGCCATCAACTTTTTTCCGTTTGTTCGGCCAGGTTTTAGCTTGACCAAACTAGTCTTGAGCGTCGGGGAGACCAACATTTCTGGTGTCAGCTCCCTGACTCCGATTGACCCAACAATCGACCCGACCATCAATCCGACACGACTTGAGATTGGCTTCTTGACCGTCACAAGCACAGAGTCACCCAACTTTCTGGCGCGCTCGTTTGAGGCCATTTTTTATCAAAGTTCCGAAGGTGTCAGTAGCTCAACACTGGGAGACACCACTCTCCGATCGGATCCCACAGTCTCCTTTGGTACTCCCAAGGTTGACAGCGGGAGTGAGCAGGCCACGAATCCAGGGCTTGCAACAGCAACCGAGGGTCCAGATTCCGACGAGGAGCCAGATTCCAATGAGGAGCCGGAGGAGCCGGAGGAGCCGGAGGAGCCGGAGCGGCCGGCTGCTGTAAGCGGATGGAGCGCCGTGGGCCCAGCAGCCAAGTATCATCAGTTGGGCTTCACCCCGCCTCAGCCAAACTTCGTCAAGAACCCGTGGCCGGTGAATGTGGCGATTAGGAACTCTTGTTGCTACAGTGGGATCAGATGCCAAAAAGCTGCACCGAGGTATAGTATCTGGGTTTGAGCTAAGTCTGCCTCAGCATTTTCGGGTGGAAGCTGTTCCAAAAGTGCTGATTGGGATGATTATTACTTTTCCCAAAAGCATCTCCGATGCTTGGGTTCTCGTTTAGTTGGATTTGACGAGAGGGTGGACGGAGGGGAAACCGTGGGAAATAGCTTGGGGAGAGCTGCGTTGGAAGGGAACGGATGGAAGCGACGATTGGGTGGACGGAGGGGAAACCGTGGGAAATAGCATGGGGAGAGTTCTGTGGGGAAGGATCGAGATGGAAGCGACGAGAGGGTGGACGGAAAGGAAACCGTGGGAAATAGCTTGGGGAGAGCTCCGGTGGGAAGGAGCGATACGGGAGTGACGACAGGGTGGACAGAAGGGAAACCGTGGGAAATAGCTTTGGGAGAGCTCCGGTGGGAAGGAGTGATACGGGAGTGACGACAGGGTGGACGGAAGGGAAACCGTGGGAAATAGCTTGGGAAGAGCTCCGGTGGGAAGGAGCGATGCGGGAATGATGTGTGGGAAATAGCTTGGGGAGAGCTCCGGTGGGAAGGAGCGATACGGGAATGACGACAGGGTGGACGGAAGGGAAACCGTGGGAAATAGCTTGGGGAGAGCTCCGGTGGGAAGGAGCGATGTGGGAATGATGACAGTGTGGACGGAAGGGAGGCCGTGGGAAATAGCTTGGGGAGAGCTCCGGTGGGAAGGAGCGATACGGGAATGACATAAGGTGGACGGAAGGGAAGCCGTATAGGAAATAGCTTGGGGAGAGCTCCGGTGGGAAGGAGCGATACGGGAGTGACGACAGGGTGGACAGAAGGGAAACCGTGGGAAATAGCTTGGGGAGAGCTCCGGTGGGAAGGAGCGATACGGGATTCGGGAGTGACCACCCTGACACGCCGTGGGAAATAGGTGGGGGAGTCCGGCGGGAAGGAGCGATGTGGGAATGACGACAGGGTGGACGGAAGGGAAACCGTGGGAAATAGCTTTGGGAGTGCTCCGGTGCGAAGGAGCGAGACGGGAGTGACGACAGGGTGGACGGAAGGGAAACCGTGGGAAATAGCTTGGGGAGAGCTCCGGTGGGAAGGAGCGATACGGGAATGACGACAAAGTGGACGGAAGAGAAACCGTGGGAAATAGCTTGGGGACAGGAATGACGACAGGGTGGACGGAAGGGAAACCGTGGGAAATAGCTTGGGAAGAGCTCCGGTGGGAAGGAGCGACACGGGAGCGACAACAAGGTGGACGGAAGGGGAAGCCGTATAGGAAATAGCTTGGGGAGAGCTCCGTTGGGAAGGAGCGATACGGGAGTGATGAGAGGGTGGACGGAAGGGAAACCGTGTGAATTGGGGAGAGCTCCGGTGGGAAGGAGCGATACGGGAGTGACGACAGGGTGGACGGAAGGGAAACCGTGGGAAATAGCTTGGGGAGAGTTCCGGTGGGAAGGAGCTATACGGGAGTGGAGTCAGGGTGGACGGCAAGGAAATCTGGGAAATAGCTTGGGGAGAGCTCCGGTGGGAAGGAGCGATACCGGAATGACGACAGGGTGGGTGGAAGGGAAGCCGTGGGAAATAGCTTGGGAAGAGCTCCGGTGAGAAGGAGCGATGCGGGAATGATGACAGTGTGGACGGAAGGGACGCTGTGGGAAATAGCTTGGGGAGAGCTCCGGTGGGAAGGAGCGATACGGGAGTGACGACAGGGTAGACGGAAGGGAAACCGTGGGAAATAGCTTGGGAAGAGTTCCGGTGGGAAGGAGCGATGCGGGAATGATGACAGTGTGGACGGAAGGGACTCCGTTGGAAATATAGCTTGGGGAGAGCTCCGGTGGGAAGGAGCGATACGGGAATGACGACAGGGTGGACGGAGGGGAAACCGTGGGAAAGAGCTTGGGGAGAGCTCCGGTGGGAAGGAGCGTGCGGGAGTGACGACAGGGTGGACGGAAGGGACACCGTTTTTTAGAGGTTGGGGAGAGCTCCAGTGGGAAGGAGCGAGACAGGAATGACGACACGGAGGACGGAAGGGACGCTGTGGGAAATAGGTGGGGGAGTCCGGCGGGAAGGAGCGATACGGGAGTGACGACAGGGTGGACGGAACGGAAACCGTGGGAAATAGCTTGGGGAGAGCTCCGGTGGGAAGGAGCGATACGGGAATGACGACAGGGTGGACGGAAGAGAAACCGTGGGAAAGAGCTTGGGAAGAGCTCCGGTGGGAAGGAGCGATGCGGGAATGATGACAGTGTGGACGGAAGGGACGCTGTGGGAAATAGCTTGGGGAGAGCTCCGGTGGGAAGGAGCGATACGGGAATGACGACAGGGTGGACGGAAGGGAAACCGTGGGAAATAGCTTGGGGAGAGCTCCGGTGGGAAGGAGCGATACGGGAGCGACAACAGGGTGGACGGAAGGGAAGCCGTATAGGAAATAGCTTGGGGAGAGCTCCGTTGGGAAGGGGCGATACGGAAGCAACGAAAGGGTGGACGGAAAGGAAACCGTGGCAAATAGCTTGGGGAGAGGTCCGAGGCGAACGACCGACATGAAAGCGACGAGAGGGTGGACGGAACGGAAATTGTGGGAAGTAGCTTGGGGAGAGCTCCGACGACAGGGTGGACGGACGGGAAACCGTGGGAAATAGCTTGGGGAGAGCTCCGTTGGGAAGAAGCGACGTACTGAGAAGCAGAGCTGTCGGCACGGGTTTTCAGGACTAATTTCATCAATGGGATTGTCCCGAAAAACTGTACGCCCAAGACTTTTCAAGTGGTTTGCAAACGTTGGGCGATGTGACATGCATAGCTTCACTGGCAGGGAGAGGACAAACTTCATCAATACGATTGTTGCGAAAAACTGTGCGCCCAAGAGCTGCCAAAGTTTCCAAACCCTGTGCCATGGGGCATGCATAGCTTCGTTGGCATGAGGCTAAAGGAGCAGAGCTGTTGGCAAGCATTTTTCAGGACAAATTCCATCAACGCGATTGTCCCCAAAAAAGTGTGCCAAAGACTTGTCAAACGGTGTCTAAACGCTGGGCAAAGGGACATGCCGGACATGCACGGGAAAATTTCTTTGCTGGAGGAGTTTTCATTTTGCTCGGCGTTCTGTCCGTCGATGCTTGGTTTTTGCTCCCTTTGCAGCGAAGCAAACTAAACGATAACCCAAGCATAGGATATGCATCAGCGTGAACGGACAGATGGGGAAATAGCTTGGGAAGAGCTCTGCTTGGAGGGAGCGGCACTGAAAATGCGGAGCTGTTGGCACGGGTTTTACACAGAGCAGCTTTTACACAGAGGAGCTTTACACAGAGGAGCTTTACACGGCGGATCTTTTACACAGGGAAGCTTGTACACAGGGAGGGCTTTACACACAGAATCTTTTACACAGGAAAGGTTTTACACACAAAAGCTTTTACACAGAGAAGTCTTTTTACAGAGTAGTCTTGACACAGAGAAGCTTGCACTTACAGAGGCTTTTGCACAGAGAAGCCTTTTACACAGAGCAGCTTTTTCACAGAGGAGCTTTTTCACGGAAAAGCTTGTACACACAGACGCTTTTACACAAAGAAACTTTTACGCAGAGCAGCTTTTACACACAGAAACGTTTACACACAGAGGAGCTTTACACGCAGAAGCTTTTAAACACAGAAGCTTTTACACGGGAAAGCCTTGACACAGAGAAGCTCTTACGCACAAGTTTTTACACAAGAGGGGTTGCACAGAAACTTTTACGCACAGAAGCTTTCACACACAGACGCGTTTACACAGGAGTGTTTACACACGGGTGCGTTTACACACAGAAGCCTCCACGCACAGAAGCTTTTACGCAGAGTGGCTTTTACACAGAGAAGTCTTTACACAGAGGAGCTTTGACACAGAGAAATCCTTCTTACACAGAGGAAATTTACACAGAAACTTTTACACACAGACGTGTTTACACACAGGAAGTTTTACACACAGAAGCGTTTACGGCGCACTGAAACTTTTACACACAGAAGCTTTTACATAAAAAAGCCTTTACACAGAGAAGATTTTACACACACAGAGGCTTTTGCACAAGGAAACTTTTACACAGGAAAGCTTTTACACACAGAAACTTTCACACACACAAGCTTTTTACACCGAGAAGTCTTACACAGAGGAGCTTTTACGCACAAACGGGTTTGCACAGATAAGTCTTTACACAGAGGAGTTTTTGCACACTAAGTTTTTACACACAAAAAACGTTTACGCACAGAGAAGCTCTTACACACAGAAGCTTTTACACTCAGAAGGTTTTTACACCAAAAAGCCTTTACACAGAAACTTTTACACAGAAACTTTGACACACAAACGCGTTTACACAGAGGAGCCTTGACACAAGGACGCGTTTACACACCGAAGCCTTTACGCACAGAAGCCTCTTTGCACAGAGTAGCTTTTACACAGAGAAATCTTTACACAGAGAAGTCTTGACACAGAGAAGCCTGTACACACAAAGGCTTTTACAGAGAGAAGCCTTTTATACAGAGAAGTCTTGACACAGAGGAGCACACAGAAGCTTTTAGACACAGACACGTTTACACACAGAAGGTTTTAAAAATAGAGGCTCTTTCGGCGCACAGAAACTTTTCCACAGAGCAGCTTGTACACACAGAAGCGTTTACACAAAAACGCATTTACACAGAGAAGTTCTTGCACACAGGAGCTTTTGCACAAGGAAACTTTGACACACAGAAGCTTTTTACAACAAGGCTTACACAGAGGAGCTTTTACACACAGACGCTTTTACACAGAGAAGCCTTTACACATTTGAACCTTTACACACACAGAAGCCTTTTACGCACAAAACCATTTACACAAAGTAGCTTTTATCCAGAGAAGTCTTAGACAGAGAAGCTTTTACGCACAGACGCGTTTACACAGAGAAGTCTTTTCACAGAGGAGCCCTTACACACAGACGCGTTTACAGCTTTTACGCACAAACGCGTTTACACAGAGAAGGGAGCTTTTGCACACAGAATCTTGTACACACAGACGTGTTCACACACAGAAGGTTTTACAAGCAGACAACTTTACGGCGCACAGAGCTTTTACATAGAGTAGTTTTTACGCAGCGAAGCTTGTACACACAGGGGACCTTTTATACACAGAAGCTTTTACACAAATATTTGTTTTATACACAGAAGCTTTTACACACAGAAACTTTTACACACAGAAGCTTTTACACACAGAAGCTTTTACACAAAAAAAGCCTTTACACAGAGGAGCTTTTACACACAGGCGGGTTTACACAGAGGAGTCTTTACATACGGAGGCGTTTACACAGGGAAGCTTTTCCACACAGAAGCTTCTGCACAGAGAAGCTTGCACTCACAGAGGCTCTTACACAGAGAAGCCTTTTATACGGAGCAGCTTTTACACAGAGTAGCTTTTACACAGAGAAGCCTTTTACACAGAGCAGCTTTTTCACAGAGGAGCTTTTACACAGAGGAGCTTTTACGCAGAGGAACTTTTACACAGAGAAGCTTGTACATTCAGAGGCTTTGACACCGAGAAGTCTTTTACACAGAGAAGCTTTTACACACAGAAGCTTTTACACGAAAAAAACCTTAACACAGAGGAGCCTTTACACACAGAAGCTGGTACGCAAAGAAACTTTCACAATCAGAAACTTTTATACACAGAGGGTGTTTTACACAGAAGCTTTTACACACACAGAACAGAAGCTTTTACACAAAATAACCTTTACACAGAAGTGTTTACCCACAGAAGCTTTTACATACAGACGCTTTCACACATGAGTTTTTTTCACGATACTTTCACAGAGAGGAACTTTTACACAAAGAAACTTGTACGCACAGACGTGTCTACACACAGTAGTTTTTACGCATAGAAACTTTTGTACAGAGAAGTCTTTACCCATCTTTCATCATGTCTCATTTTTCATGATCATTCACCATCTGTCATCTTGATATCTTCGTTTTCATGCTCTTTTGGTCAACTCCCTCCGTCGTTTAGTTTTCATTTCGCACGGTGTTCTGTCCGTCCACGCTTTGTCCCCGCTCCCTCTGTGGCGAAGCAAATCAAGCGAGGACCCAGGAATAAATAGCGACTAGAAAAATGGGATAGAGTTAATTACATTAGCAAAAATAGCGACTAGAAGAATGTAGACGTAGCTGACACAGCATGCTGTGGTAAATTGTGGCCCCTGATGCCATCAGTGCAGATGATGTTTCAGTAAAGATCTTACGTCGATTTCGTGCAGAGCACAGCTGCCCACACCACAAGAGTTTTTTAAAAAAGGCGTGCTGTGTGCGGTCTTGCTTTTGGTTATTTTCACCTCTCCCCTTAGTTCTAATGTTTTTTAAACTTGAAAAAAAAGCAAAAAAAAAGGAAAACACATGGAAAATCAAAAAGCAAAACTTCAAAACCGAAAAAAACAGGAAGCAAAATAAATGGGAAAGCAAAGGAACGTCAAAAAGGGTGAACAAATGGGAAAAAAATGGACTTGTCCATTGGCATTTTTGTTGCTTTTCTTTTGCTTTTTCGATTTGCTTTTTTTTGCTTTTGTTTTGCTTTTATTTTGTTTTTTTTTTTGCTTTTTGCCTGGAAAAAAACAAAATAAAAGCAAACAAAAAGCAAATCGAAAAAGCAAAAAAAAAGCAAAAGAAAATGCAAATGGACAAGTCCATTTTTTTCCCCATTTTTTCCCCTTTTTGTCTTTCCTTTTTTTTTCCCTTTTTCCCCCTTTTATTTTGCTTTTGTGTTTTTTGGATTTTGCTGATTTGCTTTTTGGTTTTTCCATTTTTTTTGCATTTTTCGCGTTTTTTTTCAAGTTTTTAAAAAATAAGAATTAACGGTGGTTTGGTGAACTTAAGCTTTTGGGTTCTCTGGCCCAACATGTTTAAGATAGACCACACACGGCACTTCACGTGGGGTCCCTCACTGACACATCCTAGTTCCAGTGGGGGGATGATGAACTTTGCGCGTTTCCTTACCATTATTTCATACTTCCTTCCGTGGCAAAACCTCGGGTGATGGAAGAGTCTTGCTGACCAGACGTCTTTCTGTATCTGGGAAGGAAGTGGCTTTCCAGTCTTGAGAGGTCGCGTGAGTTCATTTTGAGCCCGCCTTAGGCATCTATGTCAGTTCGAATGGCGATCGCATTTACGCACCGCTGATTTCTACGGCTGTGGCAGGTCTACGGCAGAGATCATCGGAGTGCAGATATGAAGTGAAGCAGTTCGTGGAGACCGGCAGGGAACAGCGAGGCAAGCAGTTCAAATCTGTGAACTTTCAGGCGGTCCAAGTCCGTGCTGGTGATGTCTGGATCCACGTGGGGAAGATCTTGCAGTGGGAGTTCTTTCGTTATTGTCAGTCAACGTTGGCTCAGAAGCAGGTCTACTGCATCTTATACCAAAGTGATCCCTGGGATGTGCTGACCAGTCCTGGGGTCTGTGAGATTTGGGAGTACACCTATGGCAACATCCCCTCAGCCCCGGTGGTTCGCACTTTACCCGCGGGCTTTTTGCCTCTGTGGGAACCAGAGCAGAACGACCGGGAAGCCATGAGGCGAATCTCTAAGTTCAACGTTGGGAAGATCGAATGGGTCTTCATGGGGCATCTGGTGCGGGGAAACCGGAGGAAACTTAGAGATTTGCTGAGTGTTTTTTTTCATTTTCCTACAGTCAAATCCGGCATGACTAGGAATAAATCTATAGGACATTTTTTTGTTTTTTTTAAAACAATATAATTTGGTTCCCTTTTCGTAATGAAATCTGAGGAAATGCTGGCGGCATTTGAGGCGTATGCCCGAGCTGCGGCATGTGAAATTTACAAATCACATCAGTGGCTTCGAGAAAAATGATTGGAAGAATCTGGCGATGCAGCCTGGCCCGAGCGCGAGCAAGCGCGCTTGCACGTACTTTTTGGACTGTGCAACTGTCCAACTTGTGTTTCTTCATTTCTGCAGTACAAATTGGGAGGATTTGATTGTAATACACAGAAAGTGGACATGCTTCGATTATCTTCGATTTACCTTTTCTTTTGACCAAAACGATCTCAGCATTGTTAGGAAACACAATGTGGTATTCTTGAACATGCACAAGTACTGCAACGCCAGCAACAGCTACGATCGTCTTGAGACCGTTCGACTCTCTTCGGTGTTGAGCTTTGGAGCTTTGATGATCTCGGAGCCGGTGAACGAAGTTGATACAGAAATCTTCAAGGTGGGAAGCTAAACTAAACAAAGGATTTGTTAAGGGCCGCTTTCAGCATCGGAGGGTCACCGAAAGGGGTTGGTTGAATCCCCATGTTAGTTAAAGGGACTTTTCTTTAGGAAACCTTTACATTTGGATCATGTGGAACTTAAATCGTCAGGGCCAGAGAACTCCCCAGACTTGGATGAAAGAACTCTGGCTCTGGGTTGGAGGGTCGGTTGGTGGTGGTGGACCCATCTATTACGTTTGATCGGCTGTGATGCAATGTGAGGCGCCTCACTGTGCCTCACTGTTTGCCAACCGGAATATCCATTGATGTCAAACCGGAATATCCATTCAGGACATTGTGATCTTTGAGAAGAATCTGTTTCACAGCTACTCTGACTGGAGCCCACAGTTGAAAGATCTGCTGGGAGATAGTGCTCAGATCATTGCATTTCAGCGGCGCGCCTACGCCCTGTACAAAGAGAAGTTCCAGCCAGGAGATTGAAACAAATCCAAGCAGGAAACGAAACAAACAGAAAAAACATGTTGACCAAATCCAAAAACGCGAGATTTATGACATTTGCATCTGAAAAAATCTTGAACACTTTGTCCCTGGCTCCAATTTAGTAAACTAAGCTGCTGTAAGCGACTGAGCATTGCACCGAGTCATCGAGTCCAGGACGTCTTTTCTCTCACGCCGGAGTTTGGGACACGGAGCAAGGACGCGGGTTTTTGGGTGGCCAACTTGTGATGATGGTTCTGTAGCTTGGGACAAGAACTTGTTAATCTTGTTATGTGATCTAATTATCACCACAAAGATACACAACGAAATTCATGGTTCAAATTGGAATTACTTTTCTATCTTTTTAGGGAACACTAGACCTATCTATACCTTGTGATTAGGAGCTGCCTAGTCTTCATACAAGAAGACCGCACATGACCGGCTCTTGTTGGCTTTCCGTTACGGATCAGGAGATGTCTCCAGGTCTTCGAGTGGATATTGTACAATGATACACCACTCAATTCATAGTGAGTGGCATCACATTCTAATTGTTTTCAGATTTGGTTCGGGGGAAAATCTATAGTAACTCCCTGTATTTAGGTGGATGTACCATGGTTAGCCATATAGTTTCTCTATTTTTCCCTCAATCAATCCATTTGAGCCATGAACAATACCCCTCTTGATGGTTTCACATGGAGGATATGGAGGGTTGTACTGGCGTATCAAGGATTATGAACTAACCCATGATAGTATTTTCACAAAGCATCATTTCATGGGCTTTTCACCAGGACCAGGGGCCCCTCCCATGGCTTTCCGCATTCCATCGGACGCCAGGACCGAACTGCACCGGATGATCCGGTGATGGACGGTGATTCCAGCACAAAGCTGCTGGACCCAGCGCGACCTCCGGAGGGCGAAGCCCAGCGAAACGCTTTTCAAAAATGGGCCGATTGAGGTGGTAAGGATCGGTGGTTTTCCAAAGATCTAAAAAGTGAAGAGAATTTGGATAGGTAGTCCATTGAAATGCCATGCTGAGACGTTTTTTGCTTGGTTGAGGCCGGTTTGCATAGTATTTCACCAATGTGGCTCTAGCTGGGATGGCACCGGTTCTCAATTGGTTTTCTGTCCGGAAATCTATCCTATTGTAGAGCGTTTTTCTTTTGAGACACCCAAAAAGCAGCAAAAAGTCGTGTCATTTTTCGTCACGAAAGATCAGAATGATTGAAGGCAAATGGATCTGAAAGTAGTTTTGCAAATCCGTGGTTTCTTTGGTAATGTGATAAACTTCCAATTGAGTATAGTATAGTTTATCAAACCCATGGCTGGCAACAATTGAGGTTGGCTTATGGTTTTGGCTTTACCGCGCCTGAGCAGTTTCAGAAACTCAAGTTTATAGTTTATTGGTCTTAACAACTACCCTTCATACACTGGTTATCATGTTATCCACTGGGAATCGGAAGAAAACGCAGCTCAGGTCCAAGTGAGGAGGGACCAGCCGCTGCCAGCTCTCTTGCAGCGGGTGGTCACCGACATCACCGCCGTGCCGGAACTGTGTCGTGCGCAGGCGGGCTGTTGAACTTTCAGACGTGGGAGTTGTGGACCTCCATCTATCAGAAAAAGAAATCAGTCGGAGATTTTTCGGCCCACTTCTCCGAAGCAAACGCTTAGGGATTGGGTCGTTTTTCCACTCCAAAATCCACCGGCAATTTTTGGGGTTCTCGTTGGCTTCAAAATCCACCAATTTTCCACAGAGTCTCAGGATCCCAAAATGTTCGTCTCAGCTGAGGCTTTTCGCAGATCTCGCAGGAGGGGAGTTGATCCTGAAAACGCCAGGCTTATGCCCCAGGAACCGTGTTCGCGAAGTTGGTTTTGACACAACATTTTGCGAATTAGGCTAAGATTGGGGTTTACGATAGATAGTTCATGATATTTCTATACAAGACATAATATGTACATATATAGTCTATAGTCATATTTACATAGTCATCTTGGAGTAGATAGAATATGGGACATTTTCAATCCTGATTTAAACAAGATAAAAAATAGTTGGAGTATTGCAAAAAAGAAGTTTTTCAAATTTTTACGTCCCTGTTAAAACCACTTTTAGACACGGGTCTGGAGAAAACATATTGAAAAAACAACAAAATCAAAAAAACACAAAACATTAAATGGAATATCAAACAGATAGAATATTTCTTCAAACCAGGTAAATGGAATATTTATCCCAAAAAATGAGAACAAAACCAGACACCCCAGCAGCTACTGCTCTGGGGGCTCCAGAAATACAATTCCAGATTCTATGTATCTGTCCACACAAGGTATGAACCAGTCCTGTAACGAAATGTTGGCATTTTACGTGGAAAATGGGTTGTGGAGAACATCACTCGTGGGGGGGGACGCCTTTGTGGCGGAAAAAAAGGTGAGTTATATACAAAAAGTGGTAAGAAATCGGTCAGTTTGGGGAACCTGACCATTTTGAGTTGTGAGATAAGAAACCTTTTGAGCTACACAAGAATTGTCCAGGACAGTTGTGTCGTCATGTTTCAAGTTTGTCTTCCCTTTTTTGTTTTATATGAAAAACATCTGAAGCAATATCCTTGCAACTTAACAGCCTCGAATTTCCTGACCTGGTACTGCAAAGTACTACTCACTTTCAGGTGCGGGGATGCTTGGCAGTTAGCTGGCAATAGTACACCGGTTGTATTGTTTTCTTTCAGTCAGCTTTACCCCTTCAGAAATGCACAAAAGGAAGGGGATATCGTGCTTTGCTGTATTTCCACTTCTGAAGCTGCCCAGGGGACTCCAGAAATACAGTTCCATATTCTATGTATATATTCTCGCGAGGTAAAAACCACTCTTGTAACATCCTGTAACTGTAACGAAATGTTGGCATTTTACATGGAAAACGCATTGTGGAGAACATCACTCGTGGGGGGACCCCTTTCTGGCGAAGAAAGGCGCTTTTTTGTATAGAAAGTAGTAAGAAATCGGTCAGTTTGGGGAACCTGACCATTTTGAGTTGTGAGATAAGAAACGTTTTCAGCTACGCAAGAATTGTCCAGGACAGTTGTGTTTTCATGTTTTAAGCGTGTCTTCTCTTTTCCTTT